AACGCACAGACAAAAATATTATTATTGTTTTTAACTCCGATCTCGAATCTCGACGATCTCTGGTTTCTTCACATCGAAAGGTGGTTTCTTTTTGCAACTTTGGACATTGTGTTGTTTTTAACTCGATGTGAGTAGTGATGTCTTACACTACTCCAAACCCAGAAAATTACAGCTCAGCCACCGCCACGAACTCGCCGGAGCTTAAACTGTATCAAGCGTTTATCTTCTCTGTCCCAATCTGCTTCACATTCATCGTTCTATTCTTGTTCTACCTTGTCTACCTCCGTCGCAGCAGCGCCGATTTGTCTTCCCTTGGAATGCGAAGTACCATCCTTGTCGGAAACTCTCTCTCCATGGTACTCTAATAGTCTAATTCATGCTTTTCATTCACATACTTTTCTGGGTCTGTATCTCTTCTTTGTTCCTGTCAAGATCTGTGGGTTTAAATGTGGTTTTAGTTCTGTAATGTGATTTGTGGTTTTTGAAACATTTTACAGGCTGAATTAGGGTTAAGCAAAGAGCTGAGAGAGATGCTACCCATTGTTGTCTTTAGAGAGAGCTTCTCCGTCATGGATTCACAGTGAGTTTCTTGATTCTTTTCCCACTATAATTTTGATCTTTTCTTTCATGGATTTCACGACCATGAGTGAGATTTTCCGAGGGTAGTGATAGAAAGTTCGAAACAGTTTAGGTTACATGAACAATGAAGTAAATTAGGGAAGAGAACAAGAATGAGTAATTATAGTTTTCTCTCTAGTGGGTGAAAATTTCTGATCTGCTTTGGTTGAGAAAGGTGCTATATATTCGGTTTAGATCAAATCGAGGTCGCATTGTTACTTGAATGGAGGTTGAAATGGCACAAAAGTTGCATAAGAAGGCAAATGAAAGTTCAATAATCAGATAATTGTAGGAAGTTATGGTGGGTGTAGCTTCTGGACTATGTGTATTATGTAATTAGAAAGAGTAAGATCTCATGATTTCGTACTTTCCGATAGTTTGAAAGAATCAGTTGTCCCGATTGGAGCGAAACTTGAGAGTGCAGATCATTGGAATTATTACCTTGACCGCTGATAACTAGAATGAAAAAATAAACTGATTTTTGGAGTTTTGATTTACAGATGTTGTGTGTGCCTTGGGGACTATCAAGCAGATGACAAGCTTCAACAGATCCCGGCATGTGGACATACTTTTCACATGGACTGTATCGATCTTTGGCTAACATCGCACACCACTTGCCCTCTTTGTCGTCTCACACTTATCCCAAGCCAATCCCATCAAAGCCAAGAAGATCCTGTTCCGAGTGTTTTGACCCCTGGAGTAGGAGTGCCGAGTCAACCGGAATCTAATCCAGTAAACCACGGAAACGATGGCCAAGAGCGACAATGTGATCCAAACGAGTGTGATCGAGATGGAGAGGGCTTTAAGGAAACGCAAGAGGATGAACCGAACAGCATCGGGACATCGAATGCTTGTTGTAATTGTAGACCTGGTTAAGGTTGTAAAGTCTGGAGCTTTCTTGTATTCATAACTTGTAACATTAGTACATTCTCTAGGAGTGAAAATTTAGAGCCTGATGCATCGAATAACCCGAATTTCGGAAGGCAAATGTTTGGGATTTGAGTAATCAAAACTGCTGCAAAAGGGGTTGATCTTAT